AAGATTTGATTTGTCTTAAGAAAAATTAAATTTGACCTGGAAAAAGCTGATTATGACTTTTTGCTATACCTTTTCGCTATACCTTTATGCTATACCTTTTCGCTAAGAAATCATTTCTTGTTTCGTCCCTTTTGCGATAGTTACGTTACAAGGAGGGCAAAGGTAGGCTTTTGAAATTCTGAGGAGCGCCATATTTAGACTGTTTCCAAACAGGGAGGTGGTTTAGTTGTGCCAGAATGCCGGTAGCAATCTGTTCCCACTTACATAATAGGTTACCGGCCGGTTTAGTTAAGAGTGCCCCAAATATTCCAGTTATGGATCCCGTATTTCTCCAAATCTTTTCCTAGCTCCGATTTGGATCAAATACGAATTTTGTTTTTTATCACGCAAAGTGTTTTTTTTTTTATATATATATATATATATCGTCGTCGTCCAAGGATACAAGAAGCATTTCTGCAAGCAGTACACGTCCGGACGATAAAGATCATGTCAGTCTGTGCCAACCGTGGGGGTAACACGAAACTGCTATCGCTCCTTATGCAATGGTGGTTCATTAGATGGGAGAGATTACTTTTGAGACTCGTTGAGCATGCGAAATATTTATTCACAATTGTATATATGTATTATAAAACGGCTTTGTCTATAGATTACACATGCGTGAAATACTCTTTCATATAAATTATGACTGACTACTTGTCTAGGTACGTCTGATTTACTGAGTAATACCCGAAATTCATCTGGAAAAACAAAAGAACCAATCACTGAAAAAAAAACGCGACAGAAAGCTTCTTCGTTTTGGTGGTTTTATATTTAACCACAGGTGTTAACCTGTTATTTTTAAGAAAAGTTTCAGTACTTATTTTGTATTATTAATTATATAATTATAATAATAATAAATTTATGTAATGATATATACAATTTACAATATGTACATAATAATCGGTCACGTTTTAGTGTACAACTTTTCACACTACAGTAATACTAAAATTATTTACTCAAGTACCATTCCTTTGTTTTCTGACATCAAGAAAAACTAATTAGAAAAATCTTCATTAATAAAATAACTATGCAAATAATTTAAATACTGATAACCCTACCACATGAAATAAAATCGGGATGTGGTTTACCAGAATGTAGTAGCCCCCCTGACGTTTGGTCCATGGACGTTCTGTTTCGGGGAAAGAAATATAGGTCCTCCTTAGGTAGGTAGGTTGACTCTGAGCAGCCATAATCCATGGATCTATCTAGACCGATTTTTCACTGTTCTTGAACCCGAGTGAATGGAAAATACACTGCCAGATTGGCCCTAAAGGGATCGGCTATGAAGCAAGGCCACCCGTAGTCGCTGCACCTTGGTTCGTAGCAACGTGAGATTGGGTGAACCTCTCCAGGCTATCTGTAACACACGTCTGTAAGGAGATCACATCTCATGGCCAAAGATCTTCATGGTCTGTAGCGCAAAGCAAAAAAAAAAAAAAATAATAATAATAATATGCATATATAAAAAAATATAAATATATATATTTTTTCGGATTTTTATCTATTTGGCAAAACATAAATGTTATTTAGTAAGTCATATTTACTTTATTCACATTTAATTTACAATTAATTTTACCTAAACGATACAGAACCTCTAGATCTCTAAAGCGTCACATTTTCTGTCCAAATTCAACCTCCTGTGTCTTTTATATTTTTTCAATATACGAGCGCTGCTGCTAGTCTTAAAGTGACAGTTCTTTATCTTTTTATTGAAAAATAATAGATTTTGCCACACTTAAGAGCACTGAGTACTGGACCTGAGTGAGGCACATTCATACCATTTATGCAATACAATAAAAATAAATATTGTATATCTATATAACAAAGACAAAAACAAAGAAATCTAACTTGAAGTTGAAATTAAATAAAATACAGAAACTCATAGCAAAAATAAATAAATTATAAGTAAAAGAAATAGATTAAAAAAAAACATTCATACTTAATTACAATATTTACAAGTCTTACACTTTTGGATAAAAAAGATCGTAGATTTTTGTATGTGCCTATTTTTTTATTAATCATCGTGCTTAAAGTAGCTTTGTGTATTTATTTAGTTTCTGTCCAATTTTCAGTTTAGATGATTTGGGGAAAAAAATAGAGTGCAGTAATTTCAGTTGATCGTTCAAGGCTTTTCTTAAAATAAATATTATTTCATCGGTGTCTCTAACATAGATTTCTATTTGCAGTTAAATTGCTGAGATTCTGGACCAATTGACATTTACGGAGTTCTCAATTTTCCTTTTGCAATGAGCAGGTGTCCTTCTAGAATTCTTTCTCTTCATACCTGTCTTTCACTCCTTAATGTTCGAAACGTTATGGACCCTTTTAATGCACTTATTTATCCCTTGATTGTTCAGCCTTGACATTTCGGGATCCTTGATGATTTTTGTGCATAAAGAAATATTTCTTGGATTTGTTTTTCCGTCTCCTCTATTTGAAATCTGACTTACTTTTTTTTAAAACAGATTTATAATTAGTAGGACTGGTGAAAGCTGAGCGATTACTTAAAAGATTGTCAAAGCAAATCGTTGTCCGGTATTAGATAATTTCCTCAGAAAAAACTGCAAAAAAGGATCGATTAACCGAATGGTGACGTAAGGTCATTGACTCTTAGTAGTTTCCCTCTTTCATTAAAGTATTTGTGGATATTTATCATTTATTTTTTTCTCTCAAAATTAATATAATTCTTTAGTTCGGATAATCATTTTAATCGTTGTTGAAATCGTTTGTATTGTGCCGTATTTAATACTTATTTTCAATGGTCGACAAATAAACCTTAAAAATAATTGCGGATTAATGATGTTGAAACTTTTTTTCTATTTTCATTGGTGCCTGGCACCGAATAATGGGGTTGCATATTTATCTTTGCTAAAAATGTTTTATTAAAAATATATCATTCCTTGGCGTTTTTTTTAAAGATCTACACTCTACCTCACTAAACCTCTCTGAATTCTGAGAGGTCTCACTGATAGGTTTTGTTATGACTTGGTTATACCTGGGCTTTCGTCCTTGGAAGGACAAGTTCAAGGCCGTTTTGAGGTTTAGGGCACTATACTACCTGCTTGCCTGACTTTCAGAACCTCTGTACTACAGGGTTTAAAATGAAAAGATATTTTTTATTGTTTACAAGTTCCGACATGACTGGCAACATTATTTTTCTGTTATTTCGGAACTAGAACTTTTGTTTTGTTAAAGCTATTAATTTCGCTAAAAATCAGTCTAGGAAATGGAAATTTAGCAGTACATTTCCCAAAAATGTCAACAAACTATTACAAAAAAGTTAAAATGTAACTTTCTTAAAAAAACATTCTATAATATTTTCAAACTCCAGTTACTACGCTAAAGAACATTAGTACACCGAATAATAACGGCATACTATAGAAATATTTTCTGACAACTATTAACATAAAGTGAATTAATGAGATTTAATTTATTGATACAATTTTTATAAAATACATTACGTTATAATTTTTTCATTTTTTTTTCTTATTCTCCATTTTATTTTTCAACTATCACGATATAAGTACAGAAATATCTTGTTGCTTTTTCCATACAAGATATGTATGAATATATTTAATGTACTTATATTGTGATAGTTGAAAAAAAAAAAAAAGAAAAAATTATAACGTAGTGTAATATTCTGTCTCACATGGATAATAATTATAGTCAGATAAAACTACATACTTACTATATTTGTTTACTTGGGCTTGGGGACTGAGATTAACATGAAAAATGACATGTCCCATGATATTAAATAAAAAATCGACATGATGCTAATAGACGCTACTCTAGCCTCAAGTGAAGCAGTTCGAGAGCAAGTTTCTCCTAAAGGGCGCAAAGGCAATGCTTTATAAAACACTCGTTCGACGAACGTTTATGTGTAGATGCCTGAACTAGTTAGTTTGGTCGGCTACGATGATGGTCAGGCCACATTGCAACTTTGGGATGTATGGTGTTTCCCAAGATGATCGTCCATGAGGAAATCCATGGCACAATAATAGTAGGGAGATCATGGGTTGAGTGGAAGCTATTGCAAGAACAAGGCAAGGTACAAAACTGGAGAGACTTTACCAAAGGATTCTTCTAATTTTGAAAAATGTTATTTATTTTTTGTATTAACAAATGCCTCTATGATCAATGTTCATGTACCAGAAACAATCTCAACTCAAAATCGTGAAAAATGACATGACAAACCGTTTCAGAAATAACCAATTAAATTATTTTGGGCTGTGCTAAAAATATGTTATACCTGCATCTCTTACCTGGATCTATATCCCTTTGCCTTCTGTCCTATTCATTTATAGAATTAGTAAGGAAAGAAAACGCAAACATTTTGTTTTTTTACTTTATTTTGTGACGTGAGTTCTGACTAAGACGTTCAGGGAAATTTTTTTTTTTTGCCATTAATAAATGTCTTGAGTTTGAATACAAGTTTTGATTTATAAAATAGTTCACTAATTTGAAATTCAGATCGGTGATTCATTTTGACAACCGAACCAATGGCGCCATCTTTTCAGGGCAAGGTTATGTTTGAGGCTACGAAGTTTAGTTGCATTTAGTTAATTTTTTTTTCAGAATTAAATAATACAGAATTTTTTTAAATTTAAATAATGCATTAAAGTATCGTTAAACTTATTGATGCGAATTTTTCAATGAGTATCTTTTTAAGATTAAGATCGTTTCTAGTAAAAATAAATAAACTAATAAAAGAAAATAAGAAAAATAAAAAAGAACGATGAACGGATTTCTACCTACCTCATAAATTTGTTGGGCGATGATTTAATAGCTATAGAGAATAACAATGGCTTGGATAATAATATTCATTAATATTGGCAATAGGCGATTGAGGTCGTTGAATTGATGTGTATCGCTCGTAGTATAATATTGTGTCAACAACTATAGAGGTGAATCAAAGGCTAAAGGCGTGGTCACATTTGAGCCTTGAACAAAACTAATGGCGCCTAATGGGATACTCTTGATGGAAATATAGGCGTTCCAGGATTTATAACAGCATCTTTTCGAGATCGTGAAGTCCAAGCGTGAGTGATGGGTTTGTAACCGTGATGGCAAATTGTGAGGTTTGGTATGGGTACGATTGGTAATGCCCTGCCCCTGTTAATATCCTAATGATACCTTGTCTTGTCTTCCTGTTGATGATAGAGCTGCTTTAATGCCGAAGGTACTTCGTAAATCTACCTTATTCTTAAAACGAGAGGAGCTTAGGAGAAAAGTATTTCTTCTTATATGATTTAGTATGCTTATGTTATTTATCAATTTTGATTTGTTACGCTAACTATACTAACATATGGATACCACCTTACAAAATCGAACAATAAAAATTAAAACCGAATTACCCTTTATCTCTTCATTTCTGGCATAGGGAGAAGGTAGTGATAGAGGTGTAGCCAAACCTATTTTAGCCAGAGTGGGAAGGTCGAGATTAGTTCTGTAGGTCCACCACATAATAAATTTCAACCTGTCCAAGTGCAACTAATCGCTAGATGCTAAAACGTGCAACATTGCCATCACAACCTCCATGCCGCCAATTACTTCTGTTGTAAAAAAAAATATAGTTAACCTGACTATTTGACTTGCTAAATTTGAGTGCAGTTTCGCCATGAAAGACGTCCTAACATTTGCTATCACACCATTTATCTATGTTCATCGCTATTCTATCCAAGGCCACAGATCTTGGATGTACACTCCCACTCAAGAGTATAGTCAACGCGATTTCAGGTCAAGGAGGGTTTGTCCACTGTTGTTCGTGTGCCCTTGCACGAGAACCATAATTTGTACTGTCCCAGTGACATTCACCCCATATTCTGTTGGCAGACATTTAATGGCGTATGAGATTAAACAATTCCTTGAAAATGTATTTACAAAGAAATTATAATTTTTAAATCCAATGCAATTTTAATTAATCATAAAGTATTTTCCTTATTTTATCTAGTATTTTAGTTGTTGGGCTTAGTAACGAGAGAATTCCTAAAAGGTTAATATTTGCTGTGCCGAATGGTAAGCGTCCGAGGGGTAGACCGAAGCGAAGGTGGGAAGATTGCATTAAAGCCGATCTGAAGGGACTGGGTTTGGACGGCGAATGGTGGAGGGAGGTGTGTAACAAGCGATTTGTGGTGTCGGCATCGAACCTCCGGGTTCGCTAAGCCTTATTATTATTAAAGTATTTTCCCGTCGTAGATAGAATTTGTTTGGACATCATCCCGAACCATATTATGTATGCTCACATCATCCATTTCTTTCGTATTTTTTTTTTTTGTTTTCTAGTTGAACTTTATTTTTTTCAAATTTAGTAGTTAAAGTAACGGGTCCTTTATTTATTAAACCGATCTGTCGTAGTAAGAAGTCTCATCCCGAGGTACCGTTTATGAGCGTACCGTAAGTATAAGAAGACGGCCGGAGACTGGATTCCTCTAAAACAATTTCCAGTGGCAATATCTAGAGCTGCGGCTGGATCGCGTAATGACCCCGCTGGATTCAATTCTCTCCAGCTGAACTTCTTTCGTCTTCCCAGTGGCTGCCAGTTTCCATCCTCGGCGTCTATTCCATGTGGGTTAAGGCTTTCAGATGCAGCAGGTGCTTTGGGGGGGAGGGGAGAGTATTGGGAACGTTCCAAATGGAAAAATGCAGATTTGAATGTGAAAGGTGGGTCGTGCGACTTAGAAGCGGGTTCCACTTTTTTTTTTAAAATGCTTAAATGTCGCTTGTAATCTCATTTAATATGTAGGTGCTTTAAAAATACTTTTGGTTTGGAATTTCCAGTTTTAATAAGATACAGGAAACGCTTTTTTTTTTTTTTTTTCACAGGCATACTGTAGTACTTTCCACAATTTATCTGGGAAGCAATGTTGTAAACTTAGACACTAGTTGTGGATCAACAATATCTTTGCAACATTTATTTCGTTTCGGATTGGATTAATTATAGAATGAAATAATCTGATGGGTTTTGTTAATCCTTTCAATAATTACGGTGTTGTCACTTGACTATGGTCCCTTCGATAAATATTTTGTTAATAATTGAAAGTTCAGAGCCAGTGTGGTTATTGTTAATTGTTTATGAATTTCTCGTAAACTGATTTTTATAATCCTTTTTTTAAAGTCCTGTTTATAGTATTTCATCCATTTATTCTGCTTTATACTTTAGTGTAAACATGTAATTATTTATAGTTAAAAGATGAAATAAAATCCTGTAACTTGCAAGACTTTAAACTTACTTTAAAAAAATAAATAAATAAAAGGACATTTAAACTCCTAACGAAAGTTTGTAGTGCTTTAATAATTATAAGAGAGAGACTTAGGCGTAGGTGATGCTACTGTGTTTTCACGGAATTTGGTTTTGGCGAGGATACTTGGGAAGTAGGTATCTAAGCGAAAATTCGTTTAATTTGTATTGAACGTTCGTGATAAGTCGTCTACTATCTTACTATGTTGTTACTAATAATTATTGATTTGATTTTAATTTATTACCTTCACAAAATATCTATCAGTTATTAATTGTCTAATTAATTTTATTTATTACTTTAGATTACTGATAAGTATTAATCTTATGCTATAAATTTACATTTATCTTACGATGTAATTTAGATTTATCGTATGTCAATAACAGTTTTTTTTTCATAATTTAAATATGCAATCAGGTTTCATAATTAAGTCCAAACCGAGGATTTTTTTTCGTTTTTTACATTCCTTACGGTCTGGTTGGTCCCATTGACACGTTATTTTAATTAATGAAAAGTTTGTGGACAAATTACTATTTAGTAAGTTTATTGATTAGTAAATAACTAACTGGAGAACTTTTCGCTAATTTAACAATCTAAATCTAGTCCTTGAGATGTCTCTATTTAATGAATCTTCTTTGCCTCATGCTATCCATGGTTAGCATTTATGTGATCTTTGTTTTGTTTTTTTCATGTGATGTGATCCCACTCTATTTGCCTGACGTTGACTGGTTTTTAATTATTTTCTGATATTTAAGGAACTTATCGCTTTTTTATATTTCCAATAATATCCATTTTTTAGGTTCATTCGTGAATTTTTAAGTTGAATGATATAAAAAAATACTTTCTGTTATTGCATCGCTTCGGCCTACGATTCTGGATTATTATTAGATCTGAGAAAAGACAGATGTACAAGCAAACTAAACATATTATTAAGAAAATAAAAAGATTAAAAAAAAATGTTATCTACTTACAATTTTTTTTTTATATAGCTTTACATATTTTTTTCAAGATAAATTTGCTATTGACTAATGTAAAAAGCAAATACGATATTGAGTTAGGACATTAGAAAAAAAAAAAAAAAAAAGTAGCAAGAAAGAATAAGAAAAAACAAAAGAAAGGAATAAACGCCAAAAAAAAAAAAAAAATACAAAACTAGCTGAATTTTTATAATTATTGAATTTTATAATAGTAGTTTTAAGATAAAAAAAAAATTCTAGGGTAGTTTTTTTGCCTCTAAATCCAAAACAACTATACTTAGAAGTAAATGAAAATTACGTTGTGTAAAATAAATTAAAAGTATCACATGAGAAGGAGTTAATCGGGGGATGCGGTCAAATAAATACTAAATTAAAATATAGTAATTAAATTACTATATTTTAATGTAGTATTTATTTGACCGCATCCCCCGATTAACTCCTTCTCATATTACATCAACGGTCAACCATCTCTACATCATTATAAAAGTATCACAGTTTTAAAAATTGTAATTGTAAGAGGATAATGGACCTAAAAATATTCTATAAATTTGACTAGCATATGTAAGTTGTGATAAATTAATTAGACACGTGGGTATATTTGAGAATTGAAAAATAAAAGTAATAATTAATGAATGAAAAACATGTGATATGTATGACATATCATTATTTTATATTTTCAATATAAAAATATATAATCTGTAATATATAATAGATAATATATTTTGTTTGGTTTTGTCTTGTCTTTGCTTAAGGCCCTTATGGATGTCGGAAACTGGTATAAAATATTTTTTTTTTCACTGTTTCCACCACTCACAACCAATTTCCCAGATATATTTTCTACATTCTACTATTTTTCTATTGTATATATTATTAGGTTGAGAAGTTAATTGGAAGTTGTAGTCAGTGAGTAAAACACAAAAATAAAATTATCATTTTATTTTGTACCGACGTTTCAGACCTTCGTCGGGGGGCTCTTACACTTAAGTGTTTCAAAAAAATTAAATTGGAAAATTAAAAACAAATAATAAAAAAAAAATTGTTTCTTTTATTTATTTGCGTTTTTCTCATTGACTGCAATCTCCAATTGACACCCCAACCTTATTGTATACAGTCAACTATTTCTTCACCATTGTTTATATTATTTGTTTAAATTTCAAATTATTGTATTATTTATTTAGAAATATTTTATTCGTCAGGACTAGGCAATTTATTTATTTTATGGTGAAATTTATTTTCTAATAATTATTATTTTTATTTATTTTTTAATAATCAAAATATGACTGTATAGGGGGAGGGAGGTGCGAGAGAATTGGAACCCATAGCGGTCAGGTCATTGACTCTTACGACCTAGAAATGCCGGTTTTGCCCCAAACAGTTACCATTGATGAGGTTAGTTTGTCTTTTACAAATGTTCTTCGGTAGAAGCTATTTTGACAACGCAGGCGCCTAAAGGTCACCGGTAGTCGTACATATACACGGTTAATGACCAAAAGTAATTTGTAAGTTAAACAGGAAAAGGGCGGGCAGGGTCGCTGAACTGTACATTTTTTTTTTCTATCTTGGATAGAACAGGAAGTTTTAGAAAAAAAAATATTAACACCAACAACAATTTAAAATTTAATTAAATTAAATTATAACAATTTGCAAATGAGGTATCTTTAATAATTGAAGGGCTACGTTTCATGTTTCAAAAATCTAAATCTGATAAAAATTAAATTAATGATTATTTTATTCCTATTTTAGGTGAGGACATCGCTAAAGAAATGGCTTTTATGAAAAAAGGATATTAAGTTTGAGAACATTTTATGTTACAAAAATCCCTATCTGATGAAAATTAAAGATAATTATGCTGAATCTTAGGCTGAATGACTTTGTAGAAAAGGTTATTTTAAATTAATATTCTGAGCTAAATTCCCAAATTTTTCCTAGAATGTCACACAGCAGGTTTTCCCACGTAGCTATTCAATTTTATTTTCCTTACTTATAGTGTAAGAGAAATTGTCAGGTTAATATATATATTTGGATACTAGTATTGAAGTACCTAAAAAAAAAAATCACCTACTTTACTTGAAGCGACTGCTGGTGGCTTATCGGTGACCTATTATCATTAAAATTTCGTTATTATGTTTTTTCTTATTATACATTTTAAAAAAATCTGGTGAGGTGAACGCATTACACAACTGTCACTTTCCACCCTCTTCTTAACAGAAATAAGTAATTTCATACGAAGAAGTGATAGTAAAAATTATAAACGCTATATTGACTTATATTTCATTGTAGATTTTTTGGATCCACATTGATTATCGATGTAATCTATACAATTAAATAATACCCACGAAAACATTTAGGAAAAACACATATGTATATGTGCCTTATATTTTCTGAGTCCGAAATTTGTTTTTAATTAAAGATATTATTTTGTTATAAAAATTGTATGTCTTTCTTTTCTACTATTGTCGTAGTCTGGTCGTTTCACCATTGTTACCGGATCTATTGTTTTGCGAAATGGTATATTTTAAGCTCCTAGAATGTGTGATAAAAATATTAGTGATTAATAATATAAGATATTGATGAATTCTTTGTGTGGTGTGGTGTCTTGTAATACTATTACAGCAAAACTGTAAAGGAATCACAGAGAGGGAATAATTTATCATTGAATAGGTGGAATATAAATGTTATTTATTGTTAATTTTTATTTATTTATTTTTAAATATTGTATTTATCAATTTATTTGAAGTATTTTATTTCATTTTTTTTCCTCCAATATATTAGGTTTAAATGTTCCATTACTGTCACGGAGAATCCTAGGCCTTTAGTTTCTTCTCTATTCCATTTAATTCTTGAGCACGCTTCGCCGCTGTTGTACTTGGAGTTCCATGTTACTTCATTTCTTTCTCATGTTTCATCCATCTCCGCCTTCTCTTCTTGTAAGGCGTTCGTGTTACTCCGGGCATCCGTCATCATTACTTGGTGCTGTCCGCGGTGTTACAAACAGCCTGTGTTTAACTTGCCCGGTTTCACTTTGACTTCTAAGCGACCTGAATACCTTCCTTAACTTGCGTAATCGAATATCTTCATGTCTTTTCTCTGTACTGTTGACAACTTTCATTCTCCTTTCGCCGTTTGTTGGAATACTCGTCTCATTTTCAGATTTTCATTAATTGATCCGTTTATGGTCATTCTGTAATTTATACTTCACTCTTTGGCAGGAATACTCCTGTAATGACTCAGAAAGTGGTTACTGTCTAATACTCAGGAAAAATTACTAAAAAAGCAAATCGCTATTATTCCTCAAAAACGTATTTTTTAGTTATGATTTAGGATATGTGTCTTGCTCAAAATTGTATTATGTATACATTTTGTTTAAATTGACATTAAATAGTTCAAATTTCATAATTTCTGAGAAAATAAACATCTTAGACAGAGGTATACCTACATATACTATTTACAATCGGCCTGAGGTACTCCGAACAAGCCTTGTTTCCCCACTTGTGAAGGGAAAAACGAGGCTTCAGGGGATTCCTGCAATTCTCCCTCAACCACCTCACTGGTATTAACTACCAGCGAATGCCGAGTAAGAGCGCTACAGCCACATGCACTCATCATTTGGGTGGAGAACCTAGCTGTTGCTAGAACTCCTATATATACATATTCCAAAAGATCTCGGGACCACTGCCGTTTTAATTCAGGTTTTATAAATCATAATTTGTTTTTGCGCATGCCATCAACTCATGGCAGTCCTCGGTCGAGTCAACGTTTCCTAATTTTTATTTTCTGCTTAATAATGATTTATTTCGGACACAGTATATTGTACTGTGTAATATTGCAATAAACACCTTGCGTTTATTATAATATCACCATGCTCACATTTTTTTTGCTTTGTCTGGTTAGCTGTATTAATTTTGAACATTACAGTCACTTGTTTTATTACTACTATCTCTGTTTACATTTTATGCATGCCGTTTATGAAAACAGAGTGTCGAAACAATAGCCCAGCCTTATCGAAGGCAGTGGTAATGTTTAATGAAAGACATCATGAGCGAACACTTGCTATTCCGAATCGGACCTAACCTTGACGAACTGCCGAACATCGAGCACTGCTCAGTCGCGTCAGGTGCGACGCTGACTCACCAAGGCCCCACGCTACCGGCATCACAACTACTGCACTTTCCTAGTCAGATTCTGGCACCGACCCCCGAAGGTTTTACTTTTTATACATCAGCGTCTAATAACAACTTTCTTAAAAAGACAAAGTAAAACAGTGGTTTCTAATGCCACGTATCACCTTCTAGGGGAATAACAATTTAGCATTTTCACTGTTCTCGCCGCGTTACGTGGGCCTCCTCGCATACTCTCCTCCCGGCGCATACCGACATGAATTCGTCATTTCTACAGCCTCCCATCTCGGCGGGGAATATCGTTGTGATATTGCATTATCTTGTTTCACCATGTCTGTATAACTTTCCATTCCGTTTCGTAATAATATTTTATTAGTAAAATGGAAAATTTACTAAAACTTTCCCGTTATATGTATTGAATTGTTTTATTGAGGTCATTAAAGATTTTTTTTTAATCAATATGACATTTTATAGTCCGTGGAACAGACCCCTTTCTATCAAGTTATTAAACATCCGCCTTAAACTTTGTAAATAGCTTCATCTCGTACGTACATCGATTTGTTCACGAAAATTCTTGAAATTTAGGCGTTTTCAATCTGGAAATCAGCTAACATTGTCTATTTAATTAGGTACTAAAAACTCATAAATACCTACTTGCTTTCCATTTGAATCGTAAGATAATTTGATTACAAAATAGTGGCATACAAAAATATAGGACCGTTTGTCTATGCAATCTCATTATTTTGAAATGTTGGGGGTAGTGGCCACTGAGTGCCAATATTTTTAATTAGATCAGTTATATTGCTTTATCTCATCATAACCTACTACTTTTTTATTTACGAAAATTCTTGGAATTGGCTAATTTTCAGTCTCAAGTTCGGCACACTTTAGTCTATTTAATTAGGTACTAAAAACCCATGAACACACATTTGCCTTTCTACTTGCATCATACCATAACATTTTTCTAGGCCATCTTTTTTTTCGACGTTGTGATCAAATTATCTTAGATCGAAGTGGAAAGCAAATTATATAGTCTATTAGTATGTGGGTTGTTCATGAGTTTTTAGTACCTAATTGAATAGGCAGTTTGCCGATCTCCAGATTGAAAATACCTCATTACAAGAATTTTCGTAAATAACTAAGTTGTAGGTTACGATAAGATAAAGCAATTTAACTTACCTAATTAAAAATGTTGGTACTCGGAGGACGCGGGATTTGTTGCTATACAACTTTTATTCTATGAGTTTTTTCTCTTGGTGAACTCATTGTCAATCTGCAGGACCATTAATGGTAATTTGTCTGTTTTTGACGAATTTGGTAAAAATCAGTGTTCGTTGACCGTGGTTATCGGCCATAACACCTGACTAAATTATTCTATTTAGGTACTCTTTGGACACACAATTTATTTTTCTTTAATTTTCCAAAGAAAATGTTTTTCGATTCGATGCACCATTTAGGAGTTATTAGCTAAAAAAAAAAACGAAAAAAAAATTGCTTTTTTGCTATAAAACGTTTTTCGTGGGTGGCTCGCGTTAGAAAATTTGTTTTTTACATGTTTAAACCGATATAAGTTAAAATTTTTTTTTTTAAATGGAAACTTTTCCCACATTTGTCGCAATAAATTTCCCGTCTCGATCCTCCAGTGCCTGCCCTATTGTTCTTTAAATCAGCCACCATATTTTTCAGGTAGCTTGATCCGACTGGTAGACTTTCATTTTTTGAATAAATATATTATGAGTATTCAAAATAATGCTTTCAAAATTATCATCAGATAAGGTAAATGTTTTTTGCACGGGCACTCGGACTATCATAGCCTTGGACTATCCCACTCCTATGCCTATTGTATTAAGTATTAAATATTGTAATTATAATATGGAAGGAAGTTTCATTTTAATAATATGATATATAGAGTGAGAAGGGGCCTGCTGAATTATTTTGTCCCGGGCTGGTCTCAGATTTCGGGGATCCTGCCCTGCACTACCAGAAAAATACATTGATAATATAATGCTGCTTGTGAAGAAAGTATTCGTGATTTCCTGAGGAATGACGTGTGGTTGATGTAAGGCTTCATCCCCTCCTCCCCCCACGTGACCTTGCATAAGCTGCTTTACTCTAATTCCATTTGTCACTTCGTTTCTGTCGATTGTTGAGCTTCTGGTTTTCAACTTAAACTTATCCATTAAATCATGAGTTGACCATTAGAAAATTATTACACATAAAAATCATGGGTAAATTGTCTTCAACATATCTGGTTTCCGAATATCACTTCAGATATTATTGTAAAATCATTATAATTTATAATTTTTTTTTCTGCTCTTATATTTCCACTAATGTTTATCGAGAGATTTTTTTTTTAATTGATTTTTACAACACTTAACATCAACCTAGGTAGCTCCTCAATTAATAATTATAATGTGAACAGTTAATCTATATACGGTGATGACTACATGTCTAAAATTACAACTACACTACAATTTAATTAAAATACAAATATTTATAGCTTTTATGAATTTAATTTAATATTTTATTGTATGTTCAATATATTTTATTTTATGTTCTTTGAAAATTGTTGACAGTTTTAGCATTGTTCTGAAGTCGAAGGTTGGTGTCTTGCTTACACTGTTAAATATATGTGTACATATCTTTTAATGGAGTACTAAGATGAGCGTTTAATTAATCTCGATATTTTTCGTCGATTTATCTATATTTTATCTTTGATCTATTTCATACATTTGTGAGGCGTTTAATGAATCGGTGTCTATTTTCATAGCTCCAACTTTTAACGTCGATCGTTTATGAATGTGATAATCCTAATTATTTTAATATGATAAAGATATTGAGTCAAAAATCTTCAATTATTTATTTTTATCTTCATCCGTAATTAATTCAACATCAGATGAAGAATTTTACAAAAAAATGTTTTAGTTAAAACTTATAACTATTACTGCCGTAGCTATGGTCAAAACAATAAATATATATGATGTCATAATATAATAATAAAAATTCTGAGGAAGAATTTCCATTTTCAAAAATATTATTATTATTTTCGATTGACTGGGTTAAAATATAAATTTATATAAAACCAGATGAATGTTCGACGTATTAATTCCAAAATTAAAAAAAAAAAAAAAAAAAAAAAAAAAAAACTACTACTAGATAAAAATATTTGATGCCTGTCGAATCCTGTCTATTGCACTTCTTATTGTTTTTCTACATTTTGGAAAAAATAATATCTGCAAAGTTTTTGATTTTCCTAGATGACACTCGTTAATTATGTTAATTTTCATAGCTTATTCCAAAGTAATTAGCAATATTCTGATATCTAATATACCTTTCTTGAAATTATTGATCTATAAAAACATTAGCTCATCCTTAAGAAAGTTGAGTTTAGTACCTTATCTAACATTCACCCATAAAAGCTAATATTGTTTTCTAAATCCATCGCAATGCTATTGCATCAACGACAATAATATTGTCACCATAATCGTTGCGACGACAGACACCAAGCCTAGCGGTGATAGTTGACTCATTCTTCTAAAATTTTCCACAAGGTTGGGAAAGGCGGCCGGCGGATGCGGTGTGGCCCCTCACCGAGTTTTCCAATCACCTTTGCCTTTCGGCGAACCCATCCTTTCTCATGCTTGTGCAATCGGGATTCCATTGCTCTTTGGCAAATTCCAATTTCCCTAGTGACATAACATCTGATCCGTTATTAGCGAGGCAGATTGCTTGCTCGGTTCCCACCATTACTTTCTTGTGTTATGGTCTATCTTGCACATGGATGAGATCTGCTTCACGTTTCCAGTGTAAAGGCTATGGTGGTAAATAGTAGAAATTAGAAATCAATGGTCAGATGGCGTTACCTTGAATTTTATATATCAGAAAAAAAATCTGATTAAGCCTTTAATATAATACTATTCACACCTCATATTATTCAGTTTTATAAAAAATTAGTTGTTTTTTTTTAATAGAAGAAATGGTGTGTACTATTTAAAGAAGCATTTAACACAAAAATAAGGAAATGTAATAATAAATATATATTATTGATGATATTACTAATTACATTACTTTCATTTAGTAACATAACTTGCAATTTATTCTAACCCAATGTTTTTTCCCTTCATTTTTCTTCTTTGTCTTCTCTGAAGTCCAAGGCTTTAGGATTTTTTATTCCATGCTTGGTATTGTTAGATAAAAACTATAGTTCATTTAACAGAATAATTCTTGAAGGAAATTAGTCGACTGTTCTACATATCCATGGGTGATAAATATTCAGGACGCAGTCTTTTTTAATTTTTTTAAATTTTTGCCAACGTTTCAACCCAAACATGTGGGTCTCCTTCAGGGCTGAAAATGTTTTTTAAAAATTACAATCAGAGATATAATAGTATACGACCGCTAATTATAAATAATAAACTATAGTGATTGGTGGCACATGAATCTTAACTAATATTGTGATACACATATTAAAATTAAATATTAAAATAGTTATACAAACTAAAAATAAGTATATAATCCATATATATAAATTTGTAATATTTTCTCCTACTAACCGTGGTTTGAACACAGGTTGTTCAAGTACTGATACATGTTTGGTAGGTGAGTAAAAAGGTCAGGGGTGGAGGATTTCCCAGTTGTCCTTTTTCAGATAGCAAAATGTAGGTAAACAAGGTTATAGGGGAAGGGGGGTAACATTTATGTTTGTAGAATATACATAATTTGCTGACAAATATTTCAGACGTGTACAATATTTGAATTATTTCATATCGTGGAAGTTATCGTGGAATTGTGGGATTCTTACTAATTAGTCTAAAGTTCTTATTAATGACGAACACCCAATAGCATTTATACCTTAATGTAATACCGGACTTTTTCACAATTCCTGTTTTGAGCTTTTACAATTTTATGCATTCTTCATCTGTCGCTCAAAAACCCTTTCCACCAGTCTATTCAATCACTTCCTATTGATTCAGTTTCCAAATAATTGTAAATAGATATTCTTACTTTCAATTTAAATTCTTAAATAAATTAATACTTTAGATTCTTTCTTTTTTTTAATGTAAATATATACATGAATTTTTTTTTTATAAATTATTATTATTTTGTCTGTTAGATTTTTTGTTTTCACTTTATTCAACATTTGATATTACCTCATAATTTATTATTATTTCGTTTATTTTTTGTCAATTCTTTATTTTTTCATTTTTTATTTTACACTAAGTCTTTGAAGTCCAAGATGGTTTTATCTAATATTGTTCTAAATGAATTCGTTCCAACAGTTAATAAAGGTATTTATTTTCTTCAGCTATTATGTTATCTTTATTTTTTTTCCAACAACCGAAGACAATATCGTCACGTTCAATTTTGAAGATAAACTATAACATTGATGATCCAATGTTACATGTTTAAAAAGCTATTGAGTTCAAGTCAAAGTAAAATAAAAGGTTTAACGACAGACAACACATCTTTAAATGACATAAGTCACGTAAGTAAATTATAATTATAAGTTAACTTGTTACTGCAATAAAAGGCTATGGCTGGTTTTTAGTTAAAGGTTCAATGAATAAGGAATCATAGCAGTGGGTCTGTTTGTTTTTTTATTATTGTTTATGTGTTCTTTGTCGAATTAATAAACTTGGTACATAATCAAAAGGTTAAATTCTGTCTCGTCTGGTTGATTGATTAAATAAAATTACTGTTTATTTTATTTGTTTGTTTTCGAAGTAAGAGAATTGTTAAAGATGTAATTATTTAATGACTGACCTCTTGGTGTTAGCCTCCCGCTTTCGACTCGGACCTTGTCAACTATTGTCCTGGAATAATAATTTAATGCCTCAATTATGGGGTCCTTCGATTCGCCGACCTTCTCATTAAATACACACAGAGAATACATTGTTCTGTCACATGACCTCCTTAGAAATAAAGCGGTTTCTAAGCTTTGATCCATCAAGGCTTTTCTTAAAGTCCTATATTAAAAACGCAAATTGTTGCAGAATGGTTTATTATTTCCAAATACTTATATATCAAATGTAAAGCTTCATTCCTAATAACTTAGAGGAAAATAAACAAAAGTTGATTGCTATTCTTGACCTGAATTTTAAATTTGTTTTGAAATATAGACAATCCATATTTCTTCAGATGATGTAAGATCAATTCTTCAGTAATCAAAAACCAAAACAAAGTCCAGATTTGCAGTGGAACATTTATGTATTTATAACACTATTTCTTTACGCCAAATCTTCAGATTTCATTTATTTTTGTTATTCTTTAGGAAATTTCATAAACTTTAAAATGAGCTGATACACCAGCAACATAAAAGTGTATACTTGTTAAGTTATTAGGAATTCTAATTTTATTTACCCTCGTTACTACTTTTCCTGCTTCTTTTCGGTAAGTACGGTAAGTTTTAAGTTTGTTAAAATCAAAAACCTTCGAGGAGATGACTTTAGCCGTTCCGATAATAGCCTACAGCGGCACAGAATTTTCGCTCACCATCTTGAAAGAAAAGGGCAGATGATAATCTTGAGTTGCAAGGATCATCCTCGTGTGACCTTTGACATTGGTACCGAATTTTAAAACTATCTTGTCCCTGAGAGAAGCACTGGAAGCGAACGGGCGGATTTTTTAAATTCTATTTTTGGATTCTATGTATCTTGTAAAGTAAAATCTCAAATTTTGGGAGGTGAGTGAGGAGGTTAACTATTTTTTTCTCCTCTTGGCCGATTAGAAAGGTTTATTATTGAAAATAATAAGCTAAGATTGGCCCTTATTTGTTGGTATTTATTATATTGAATATAAATTGTAATTTTTGTTTTTGTTAGATCTATATCAGCAATCGTTTTTATTAATGTAAGTGTTGTATATCACTACGTGTAAATATAATTTTGCAAATATATTTTACAATTTAGTATTTACCCTGCAAAGAAACCTGGATAATCTAGTAGAATATAGTCCTCTTTACAGGCCTCTGCACGCTGTCTTCACGGGCGGATCTACGGGGGGGGGCTTTCGGGCTGAAGCCCCCCCAAAATGATAAAATATAACCATGTTTTATCGAAAAAAATATTTAAAAAGTATCTCTTAAAGTATTATTGTTCGTGTAATTACATTTAAAAAGGCTTTAGGAATCACTTAAACAACATTTCATACAGGTAGTTAGAGTCTTTCTTTTTTTCCAAAGTAATTATCGTTATTTTTATGAAGCCCCCCCCAAAAAAATTAAATCCTGGATCCGCTAGTGACTGTCTGAAGCTTCGTAAATAAATAGCTTCTTCGTATCGTAAACTACAACCATTTTATTTATGAAAATTCTCGGCTTTGGGGTATTTTCAATCTGGAGATCGGCAAACTTTATCTATTCAATTGGGTACTAAAAACTTGTAAATACCTATTTGCTTCTCACTTCAATCGTAAGATAATTTGAGAACAAAATCGAGAGAAAATGTGGCGTTTAAAAGTATTGGGTTGTTTGCGTGACCTACACCCAAGATAATATTTCGATAAAATAAAAATAATAATTCGACAAAAAGAGGTCTGTACCACGGACTAATATTTTACAGAACCATCCCGTTTTGAAGCTCATCAAAAGATCGATTGATTTCGTGCAATATTAAAACGCTCGCCATTAACAGTTATACGACTATTAAATCGCTCTGCGTTTTCTATTAGTTGCATTTATACGTGATAAATTACATTTTTATTTACATTTTACATTTTTTATTCGTTTATTTAATGCCATAAATGTTTTTTACGTTGGTTTAAGAAAATAATCATTCGTCCATTAAATGCAATGTTTATTCGCTTGGCAAATCATATGCATCTGACTTCGCCGTAACTGAATAATTTGCATTAATGATCCATTTCTTCAAGGACCGATCGGAAACTGGGTATTAAAAGGTGGGGCGTTTAGTCAGGCCTTGGCCGTGCATGAATCACTGAGTCAGCGATCAAGAAGGCAGGCAGACAATTATGCAATATTTTTATTTTTATAGTCGTTTATTTTTATTATCAACGTTTACCTTGAACATGAAGTGTTTTTTTTTTCTTTTTCATTTATTATGCAGTCGAGTATTAGTGTCTTTTCTATATGCCGATATTTCTCAAGGTTCGAACTCTCGACTTTGTTTAGATGTCATATTAATTATGTGTTCCCGTTTTCTTATTAAGGATGTTTTTGATGCGTCTCACGTTTGCCACTTCAGAATATTTCGGCAGATATATTGTCTCTCTGAGCTTCCTATTATTACTATTTTTTTTTTTTCCTTTCAGAAATTAGTTGTTAGTATTTGTCTAAACGTAATGGCTATAAAAATGAAGAAGTAATTCAGTTAAGTAATTAACAAATTTATAATAGTTTCTATAAAAATGTTCAATTCCAAATTCAGCATAACTACAAAAAAAAAACCTGTACCATTTGAACCCATGGAAGTCTTGGATTCAGCACTTGGTAAGGAAGGCCGACGGTAGTGGAGGGAGGTGATCTGGTTGAGGGATGGCTCAACTGCCAGGTTTTCTCCCTTAATTAATTATTAATTGAGAGTATCCAATTTATAAAGCTTAGGTGTTCTTCATGAGTCTCTCCTGATCTCAGTTTCGATCCTCGGCTGGTGTATCAGAATAAATAATTACCAGCCACAACCTGATCAGAACTCGAGATCCTAAGCATAGGAAGTCAGTGTCCTATCAATTGGGATACCCCACTCTCTAACTAAAACAAGAAATAAACATTAATTAATACATATTAATTTTTTAGTTTTCTTAATATATTTTTTTAATATGGGATCTTCAAACATTTTCAAAGATTATATAATTAATTGTAAAGTTTTTGTT